CTGACCGCCTCCCTGTCAGATGGAGGAACTACTTTAACCATTGACTTGGCTACCTCAACCAAGTCAAGTCCCTGGGGGCCGGCTGCATTAAGTAAAAGGATAAAACAAGTTAGACCTAATCAAGAAGGAAGCAAGGGTAAGCTTTACAATTGAGTGTCCATACATCTAGGCGGCCCCGCCTGGGTTTTTGAAGAAGTGGCCGGCTGCTTCTCAGCCGCCACTGTTTTCCTGGAAGACCCAGGAGAGCTTGCAACAGTCGTCCTCCGGGCCTTGGGGTCCGGCTGTTGCGAGGAAGAAGCCCTTGGAGTGCCAGACTGAAAACAAAAAGAGTTAGTATATGCATAAGACGACTAAAAGGGGAAGAGTTTTCAAAGCCTACCAAGGGTGCCTCCTTGTTGGGGGAGTCGGCATACGACTGCTTCATTAGCGAGACCCGCAGCATGGCCGCCGCAGTCTTAGATGCTGTTATTTTACTCATGGCGTCAGCTGCAAGAAATAAGCAGCAAAGTTAGTAAAAATCCCAAGTAAACAAGGCGTGAAAAAAAAGAGTATTCGTCAGGCCGGCTACCTCTAGATCACCGACTGCCGAGGCCACAGGCGGCCAAAAAGTACTCGTCATAGAGCCACTTGAAGCTCGGGACGCAGTTTAGGGGTACTTGCTCTCGTACCCCTGAAGTAGAGTTCACCCTAGTCTCTACTTTGAAGAGTCCTTTGTCTAGGATCTCTTTTTTAGCCTTTGGGGGAACAGGCGGCATGCTGCGGCCGCCTGCGAGAAGAGGCGGATCCCTATTCCACTTGTTAAAACGTTTGTTCAGCTCCGTGTCTGAACTCTCGATAATAAGGAAGGTGTTCCGCCAATCCTTTCATTTGTTTGCCTTACCTCTCGTCATGAGGTAACCCCTATGGCTTGTTAATTGATACCAGCCGGTACCTCCCGACTTAGGGGTCCGGCTGAGATAGTTCATATGGGCGAAAGCCTCAAAGCTTGGCTCCACCCCGTTCAGTTCGCACCCGGCCACATAGCCGAGTACGTTTACCCAAGAGTTGGGGGCTCACTGCCATAACCCCAGATCATACCCATCTAAAATCCGCTGAACAGCCGGATGTAATGGGAAGCGCAGTCCAGCTTTGATGGCCGCCACATAACAGCCAAAGCAGCCGTCACCATAGCTGGTACCAGCCGGCCAGACGACAGTATCTTCTGGATCCGGCACAAACAGTAAAAACTCCGGGCCCATTTTGTGGTTAGCAATAAAGCTCGCCACGTTGTCTTGCATGGTTGCGATCCGGCCCCGGGGTACCCTGCAGTAGTAGGGGGCGTTTTCCTCTCTGTAAGAGGCGGACGGCTCCGCCCAATTGTCCCCCTTCTCAACTGCATGAGAACGTCTCGCCTCTTGTAGGCGGCTATGTTTTTCTTCTGAGCCAGGAGAACTGTGGCCAGAAGAACTGGACTCAGACTCGTCCTCTGACGAGTCCGAGGAGGACGACTCCTCCCCTTTCCTAGAGGGGCCCGCCTCCTCTCCCTTAGAAGGAGCAGAAGGAAAATTAGACATGTCCACGGTAAGATGGGAAGGGAACACCTTGGCCCCTCTCTCAGAACTGTCGGCTTGACAGTCACCTCGTTCTACATCTGGCGCCTGGTCAGATGTTTCACTAAGGAGCACTCTTTGGGAGGAGCCGTCTGAGTTTGATATCATAGCAGTCTTTTTTGTTCTGGCCATCACGTTCTGCATAGACACAGATACAGTCGGACTTTGTATAAAGGGCAAAGATGGGTCCAGAAAAGGGCAGGCGGCACTCCTAGTCCTAGATTCAGCCGTCCCCGGTGACCGGCTGATCACTAACTTAGGGCGTGTCGTGTGCTTCCATGGTGCCATTTCAAAAAATAAAAAGAAAATTAAGAGTAAGAGAACTAAGTTACCTGAACGAGTGACGGTTGATGAAGTCCTGAAAGTTCGGGTCAGTCGGCTTGTCAGAACAGGCGGTAGGCAGAAAAGGTCCGAAATGTCAGAGCAAGTTCAGGGGTCCGAATGTTCTCGCAAAGTTCTCAAATGTGAAAATGACCGAAGTCAGCACTTCCTTTTATAGGCAAAGTGAGAAGGCGAAAGGTCGCTTCCAAATTCAAAATGTGGGCGGGAAAATCTCTCGGCCGTTTGCAAGATGACACCTGTAACAGGCCGTCGCCTGTCACCGTGCGACACCTGTCACAGGCGACCCGTGACCAGTCACGTGCCACCTGTGAGGGGCAAATGATTAGGGGGTTTTTATCCACCAATCATCTTCTGACAAGTGGACCAACCAGGTTCCGCCACGTGTCCTTCACGAAGGACAACAGGAGCCTGCCACGTGTCAGTCACAGATACGTCCTCTACGGACCACTATAGACACGCCACGTGTCCACCTATGCCAAATGGGACAACCGGCCATCAAGGCCCAATTCAGTCTAGAGGCCCGATCAGCCCTAGGTTTACCTTAAACCTAGAGAGTTGCACGCTTCTCAAGGCTATAAATACTCGATTAATCCTCATTAATCAAACAACAGAAAAGAATCGAATAATCAAGAGATCAAGCAGAGAAGAACAGAGTTATTAACAACCGGCTAATCTCGCTAACGACGCAGATTACCAACACCAAGCACTCTCACCTGGAGAGATCTCATTACTTTAATTTCTGTATTAATTACTCCTTAATCAGGTACTAACTTGACCGTTGGAGGCGGAGCTCTCAGGAGTCTCCGTTATTTTGCAGGTACAGGCGTCCGGTTCCAGTCTCGGAATTGTAACTCTCCCGCAGGACATCAGAAAACCCCGAAACAATAAGCATACAGCTATTGGAACTCAGTGATTCATGCATCATATAATGTGGGAGATGTGAATTGGGAAACCACTTGGGATTCAGAGCTTTTTTGGTGCAGCAGACCACACCGTGTGGCCTGCTGCCAAATCAGTAAAAATAACGTATTACGTGGTATAATGGGGTTACTATTCACTCGCATAACGGGGTTACTGGTTTTGTCAGGGTTACTTGTATTTTTTTTTTTCATGATTTGTATTTTTTTTCAGGGATTACTTGTATTTTTTTTTTTCAGAGGTTACTTGTATAGTTGTATGGATTATTTATTCAGGGGTTACTTGTATTTTTTTTTTTCAGGGGTTACTTGTATTTTTTTTTTCAGGGGTTACTTGTATTTTTTTTTCAGGGGTTACTTGTATGGATTACTTATTCAGGGGTTACTTGTATTTTTTTTTTCAGGGGTTACTTGTATTTTTTTTTTCATGGGTTACTTGTATGGATTACTTATTAAGAGGTTACTTGTATTTTTTTTCAAGAGTTACTTGTATTTTTTTTTTTCAGGGGTTATTTGTATTTTTTTTTTCAAGATTTAGCTGTTTTTTTTTCAAGATTTAGTTATATTTTTTTTTCAAGGGTTACTTGTTTGAGTTATTAATTCAAAGGTTACTTGAATGAGTTACTTATATGAGTTACTTTAAAGGTTACTTTGTTACTTATTCAACGGTTACTTGTAAGCCCCATACCAAACCAGTAACACCCTACAAGTAACCCTTGAGCAAAACTAGTAACACTCTACAACCAATCCCTAACCAAACCAGTAACACCCTACAAGTAACTCTTGAGCAAAACTAGTAACACCCTACAAGTGACCCCTAACCAAACCAGTAACACCCTACAAGTAACCCCTGACCAAAACCAGTAACACCTTACAACGGCTACAAGTAACCTGACCAAACTAGTAACACCCTTACCAAACCAGTAACACCCTATAAGTAACCCCTGACCAAACCAGTAACACCCTACATGTATAGTAACCCCTGACCAAACCAGTAACACCTACAAGTACTCATAACCAAACTAGTAACACCATACAACTTTTGACGTAGAATGTTTGATCTAAGATTCCACGAAGAAAACGAGCTCACATTTCTTTGGTTCTCATCAATTTCACTACTTCAAATGTTGTTGATGATTTTAAGGATAATTAATCACAAATTTTCACAGCAATTTTAACACTCAATTTCTACAATTCCGGGCTTTAATTGCAGCAATTTAGCAAAGAGGAGAGAAAAAATGGGAGATATGGTTGTTGGTGATGCGTGGTTTGGCTTGAATAAGAAGCTAAGAAAAGAGGAGAGAGAAAATGGGTATAGTATAGATATGATTGTTGGTGATGTATGGTTTGGAAAAGAAGATAAGAAAAGAAGAGAGAGAAGAGTTATTGTATTTTTTAAAAAAAAAAATAATAAAAATTGTGGCTGGCCACACCGTGTGGTCAGCCACATACAAAAATTTGTGCTTGGGATTTTGCTTCTGCATCTAGGATTATTGGTACATTAGTTGAAGTTGTAAACTGCCAAATTTAACTAGGAAACAAGCTGCAATACTGTATCCATGGTGTAGAAAAAAAGTTGTATGCTTGTATCCATGTGTGTATTTCTTTTGAGTATAATTATGTGTATTTTTGGTCTATCAACTTACACTGATCAGGTGATTTTACCAAATCATTATGAGTTTGGGTTTATGTATGTAAGCTCTGTGATTTTTCTACTTCACAGTATCAGGGGATCTTAAGAGCTTACGAGTCTTTTACAAAGTTACAATTTGTGTTAGGGTTGTTAATTCAGCTCCTAGTTGTGGAAATCAAAGGCTATAGGACCCTATTCTATGAACGATTTTCTTTGGAAGAGACTTTGATGTATGAAGTTTGCGTGTTTTTTTCCTGGCAAGATTGCTTTGGAATTTATGTCTCTTGATCTGCATGACTGAAATGCATATTAAAACCCTTAGTTTTGGCGAGTGGTACCTAACATGAGTTCCCTTAACTTGAAAATTAGTCTAGTTGAGTGAAACCAACCAATTAATTTAAGATCTCTGTTAATTTGACGTTTTGTATCTGTTTTCGGATCATTAAAACTTCTGTTTTTGGATCATCTAACTTCAGTTTTATTGCCACAGCTGAGCATTGGAAAACAGTGGAAAATGCTCCTTGATTGCAATGAGACTATCGAATTCATATTTCATGTAAGTTGTAATTCTGTTTTTACAGTTTCTGTATTCCTCTTGTATATGTTCTGCTTGAATGACGGCTTAATGTGTACTTTCAGGATGATGCTAAGAAACACGACAGGGGTGCCAAGAATCGTTACACTTGTTGAGTTGTATAGGTGCTGTAATGGGAAGGCTGGAGAAAGCTGCTGCTTGGAGCTGGAATGCTGATTCTAGTCTTATTGGTGTAGTGCTGTTGCTGAATTTCTGTTTTGATGCTAATGAAAATCATTTTTGCACTCTTTGAGCTTACAAAATCTAAAGATACATTCTTATATTTTATTTGATGGGTGTTAGCATTTTAGTCAAGCCTCTTAGCTTGTATGTTCTCTCTATGATCCTTGGTTATTTTGTCCAATATACCGTCAAATCATTTAATTTATTTTGCTCTTTGCTCCTTCCTGGAATCGATTAGCATAGCAAGCAACCACCATAATGTTAAGATTAAGACAATGTTAAATCATAGATAAATGAGACAGGTAAAAAAAATTATAGATAAATAAAATGCTCGAGAAATGAGAAATCAATTATAAGGGCTCCCCAATTTATAAAAATATAGGTAAATATGGTCCAGTTAAAAAAATCCTCAAGGAATGAGAATTTCTCTCCTATATAACTCTCCCGATTATAAGAGCATTTAGCTTGTCAAAAAATAGTTACAAGGGCAGTTAGAATGTAAATACAATGTTCCATGTATCTTACTAAATTTCGAGCTCTCAAAGATCCACATTATTTCTCTCTATCAGTGCGAAATTTATAATCGTATTTTTTTATGATAATAATAGCAAGATTAAAGAAATATAGAAAAATATGGACAATTAATTTAATTTAATAAAAGTTTCAGCCTTTAACAAAAAGTACTACCTACAGATATAGAAAAAAAGATGAAAAACAAAAAAAAACTAGTACTAGAATAGAAATAAAATGCACAAAACTGCAACAACAAAAATTTATACTAATATATTTTCATAGTTAGCAATCAATGAACAATACAAAGTTTAATATTAGTATTAGTTCCCACTATACAAAAAATAGGCTATTTATATGCTGCCAGCAACTAATATATATACTAAATCATGAACAATAGAGCTGAAACTGAATACACCACTAAAACCACAACCCTCTACAGCTTCATTTAGCAGCTTCATGGGGTCAAAACAAAAAATAACCATAGCCATAACCGTAAAAAAATCATTTACAAAACTATAAGGGAGAGAGATGGGATAAGAGCCACCTCTAGGAAGGGTTCCCTTAAGCCTCAAAGTTGAAAGTTATCTACATTGTTTGTCTATACATATATCTCTAATAATTCAAAGAACCTCTCCTTCCCATTCTTCTAAAAAAGCATCGTCAAAATCATAATTGACACTGTACTCTTCTTTGATATATAAACCCAAGTGTTCCAAGTGTCTCCTAAGATTATTAGTGCCTTTATAGTTCCACATAGTACGAGACGTACGATCCGGACACATCACAACCAAAGAGGTCCCAACCAAAGCCTCAAGATCCCTCATAACTTGAATGTTGTTATCAACATTAACAGATTGTTCAATCTGCATAAGAATAAAAGGTTGAATTTAATAACAAAATTCTCTAAACCTACAACCATATAACTTCTAAAGGTTATGAAAGTTCAACTCACCTTTCTAATGGCCATTCGGGCTGCTTCCCTCGCTTCTTGTCTTTGCCTTTTGAGTTTAGATTCTTCTCTTGATCGAGCAGCTGATTTGGCAGCTCTTATTTTTGCATCCATGTTAGATTTCTCTGTGACATGAATAGCATGTTTAGTTGCAGTTGAAGGCTTAAGTTAAAACTAAAAGTCAGATTCATGTATTCAACTGCACATAAGATAGTAAATGCATACTCACCTTCATGTTGCCGCCTGTGCATTATTTCCTTCTCTTTCTGCCGATTTGTTGTATCAGCTTCAGCACCCTAAACGTTTGAAAAGTACATGAGTAAATTTGCAAATGGAATGTATTTCTGAGCTTGCCAATAACAACAGAAATCAAAAAAAGACTGAACTTTCCAAGTGATTAGAAACTAAGATTTGGCAATTACCGGTTCCAACAATGTGTGATTTTGGGCCTTCGTTATGGTTTCTGCATACCGACTCTTCAATTTTGCAATATGCAGGGCTCTTGATGGAGAGAGCTCAACATCTGATATAGTTTCCAAGCCTATACAACAACAAAATGAGTATAGCTGACAAACTCAATGCAGCCATAATTACATCTAGATATTATTAGGATTTTAAACACTGACCTTTGGCAGTAGCACCGAAAGAGCCACTTGTAGAAGGAGCAGTAGCACCAAAAGAGCCACTTGTAGAAGGAGCAGTAGCACCGAAAGAGCCACTTGTAGAAGGAGCAGTAGCACCGAAAGAGCCATTTGTAGAAGGAGCAGTAGCACCGAAAGAGCCACTTGTAGAAGGAGCAGTAGCACCGAAAGAGCCACTTGTAGAAGGAGCAGTAGCACCGAAAGAGCCACTTGTAGAAGGAGCAGTAGCACCGAAAGAGCCACTTGTAGAAGGAGCAGTAGCACCGAAAGAGCCATTTGTAGAAGGAGCACTAGCATAGCCACGTTCTAAATCCATAAAACTCATACTTGCAGAATCTTGACCAAAGCTACCCTTTTGCAATGTTGAATTATGTTTATCCTGCACATTCAAAACTGTTAAAACCCACCACCAAGATTTTCATCTATATATGAATATAGTATATACATTAAACAAAGTAACCATTATTATAAGTAAGTTCCAACAAATTCTTCAGACCACAGAAGATAATGAAAGTAGCTCACCTTCACAGCAGTAAATTCATCACAAGGAATCATTTTCCGTGCTACAACGTCACAATTGAACTTTGATGAAGACAAAGGACAGGCACTCTTATGCAGATGAGTTTGCCTTATATCTTCGTGCTCCCCTCGCAATTTTATTTTTACAGGTTCCCAAAGACGATCAAACACCCTGATGAGAGTATTCGCACGCTGATGAATATAATGGCCAGGAGGATTGTATAACATTGCATTAGAAAACGTCAGCCTCACATCAGCCTCAAACTCTTCAGCATGATCATATCTATGCTGCAGCAATTTCTGTTTAATGGTCCCAAGATCCATTGGCTTTTTGATGATGTCAAAGTAGTCGTCAATATTCCACATAACAGGATCTACAGGGACTTCAAACGGGGCACTCAGAGGATTCTGCATCAGCTTTTTAAGAACAGCCTGACAAAGAATCGTCGTAGACCGGTCCAACTTCAACCTCTTTGATACAGGACCTTTGATCACTTCCTCTGATCTTCGTTTCAATCCAAGAGTAGAATTAACCTTTGTCCGATTGAAAGTTTCCGACGATTTCTTAAACCCACAGTCCGCTTTAGGCACTTGTTTTGACAATGGACATACTCCAAGCTCACGAAAGTTAGTTCCCAACATGTAATTTTCGACACCAGTACCGACTTCACTCGCATCATCAACAATCCGCGGCTTCTTCAAGCCGTTCGTAGGCTTCTTAACAAGAACTTTTAATCGCTGTTTCTTGCTCGTCATATCAGGTTCAGCAACACCTGAGAACACTTTGACCACCATGATTGATGGTCCGTCTGAAAACAATGGAAAACATCAATTTAAACTCATAAACTCATACAAAATTCTTCTCATAAATTACAAATTGCAGAAATTGAACAACCAAAATAACTCAAAAATTGACATAAAAATTTCCCCGCCTAAAAAAATATCGGCGTTAAATTCAAAGTTCAATCCTAACAATTAAAGGGTTATGCAATACATTAGCAACCAAATTTGATACCTCGAAAAATACATATTTATTTTTTGACGGAAAATTAAAAAAAAAAATAACATAATTTTAGGGATATTTGATTCAACAATCAAATTACTTTCATGATTTCCTTTTTTAGTAAAATAATCGCTGGTTATGATACTATAATCTTAGAATTTAGAAACAAAAGTTGAGATTTTGGAACCCTAAACTTAACGCACTGACAATTGAACTAGATAAGATCACAGATAAACCCTAGATTGGGAAAGTGATATGATGAAAACAAAAACAAACAACTTACATCAAAAGCTGCTTCAATGGGAGACAAATATCAGAAAGTGAACTGCGCTTCAATGGAGAACTTGACTGCGCTTCAATGGAGAAAGTGGAAAACTGAGAGAGAGGCTGGGTTAGAGCCCTAACAAAAGGCCATGAAGTCCTGAACCGCCTTAGTTTTTTTTTTTTTTTTTTTTTTTTTTTAATAAAGGTAAGAAAAAAAAGAGGCCTTAGTTTTTTTTGTTTTTTTTTTTTTTTTTAACAAAGGTAAGAAAAAAAAAGAGGACATTAGGAGACCCTACTCACGAGGGGAACTCCTAATTCAAACCGCCTTAGTTAGATTGGTCAGATTTCTTTTACTACGAGTACGTGTTTTTTTTTTTACAAGCAATTAGATACGAAGTAAATTTTTAAATATAAACCTTCTGTTCTTGAATTTTTGGCCCATTGAAATAATTTTTGACCGTAATATAGTGTTAATCTACAAGAAATATTATAGTCATTTGGGAACTCGTTGGATTCATAGGTATTTTTTATTAATATCTATTTTTTATAATTTTTACACGTATGAAATTGGAAATAAAATTATAATAAGGTGCGTTTTAGAGACCGCAAAAAGTCAAACGGGGCAAAAGATTAGGGACGGAGGGAGTAACACACTACACCCTCCTCCCCAAGTAACAACTAAAAAAAAAAAATCTCTGAACTACTCATATAAAAGCCTTAAAAAATATTACTCCTAGGGTTGTTAATGAACCGAGCTTGTTCGAGCTCAGCTCGGTCAAAGCTCGGCTCAAGATTAAACAAGACGATGCACGATCATGCTTAGCTTGCAAGGAGCTCAAATTAGTTTTTTTAAATAAATATTATACATTTATTTACATTTAAATAAAGTTAAAAAAAATACAATAACAACAGTCCACTACTATAATTAGGTAGTTTGGGTAAGTTACGTAACATGATTATGCATTTTACGGGCCCAAATGAGCCTAATTTCAAAATTGAGCTTATAACTAGCTTGATTTTGAACTCAAGCCAATAACGAGCTCAAGCCGAGCTCCACTTTTAAGCACTCGAGCTCGAGCCGAGCTCAATTTCCAAGGTTTGATGAGGCACGAGCTCGAGCCAAGCCTACCAATATTCATGCTCGACTCCGCTCATTAACAACTCTAATTATTACTACATTTTCTCTCTCCTCAAATTTTATACTTCGTACCTTTTAGTTGATATGTACATTTAAGTATAAGATTTTCACTTTTACTAATGTCTATTTATAGTTTATTATTATTATTATTATTATTTATAAACAAAATATATGTATATTTGAATAGTTAACAAATATTTCCTTGAATGCTTCCTAAAAAATGTGTAAATTTTTTTTGTCAAATTTGTCAGAACAAACCTTTTAAAAACAACATTTTGCAAAAAAAAAAAAAAAAAAAAAAAAAAAAAAAAAAAAACCTTTTAAAAGCCTTTTGGTTAAAAAAAACCACCACGGTTTTTTTTTTTTTTTTGCGCGAGAAAACCTATTTAGTATTTACTTAATTACCCTCTAATTTACTTAATTAATTGACAGGGTAAAGTCGTATCCCCAAATCAAAAGTAATACCTAAATCCTCTAACTAATGTAGATAGGGAAGTAGGGTCGAATCCACAGAGAAACGGATCTTTCTATTCCTAATTAACTAGTATGATCTAGATTATTAGGTAACCAATTATGTGAATTTGAATAATAAACTAAACTATGGAGATCAAGAATAGGGAGAAAATAATATATAAAAGGATCTAGGGCATAGGTTCACCAATAAATAATATTCCAGGGTAAAATATAATAATCATTCATCAATGCATATATGAATCGGATTATAAAGGGCTTTCGCTACGTATTATGATCACACAATTAATTTATCGGTATTAAATCTCATCTTTCGAATCTCGACCTAACCATTTATAAGTTAACCTGCCTATTGAAACTAGACCTAAACATCAATTCTCATCTGTCGAATCTCGAATCAATATTGTCAAACTCATGCATAAAAGATCGTGCCTAATCTAGTCACAGAGCATTAAATCAATCAATAGGAAATTAATCTAGCATTGACAATCAACAACAATAAATTACCCCTTCATATTATTTATGGATCCCCATAAACCCTAGAAATAGAACTACTCACACATAGTAAAAACTAAACTAATCAAAGCAATAAAACAAGTCATGATGAAAGGAATAAAATAAACAACTAAGATTAAGAGAAGAGAAATCGTTACCAAACAAATCTGGAATTAAGAGTAGATTAAGAACAAAGGTTTAAGAGAGAGAAAATCTAAGAAAACAATTAAGAGAGTAAAGAAAAAGTAAAAAGAGAGAGAGAAAGCTAAAATCGTATTACGGAGGAGTATTTATACTCCGTACAAATCCTAAACTAAAACAAACTAAAACGACGCTAATCGCCTCCCAATAAATACACGCGCCCGATCGGGCGAGGCACCGCCCGATCGGGCGCGCCTTTTTACACTCTAGTACCAATCTCGCGCCCGGCCGGGCGCGTCACCGAGCGCCAGCCTTAACTTCTCCCGCCCGGCCGGGAGTGACTCCGGGCGCCAGCCTCTTTGGCCGGGCGGCTCACTTGGGCCACTATTTGGACTACGATTGGGCTCCAATTCTTCGGGCCAATCTGGGTTTCCTCTTTTGGTCTTGAATACTCGGTCCAAATGCCTCGGTATCACCTATACCGAGCCCTTAATCACCGGTTCAATGGCTCTAACCGGCCCTGGGCTATAAAATCTGGTCGTGCTTCTCAAATGCTCGTGATTGCTCCAAAATATCTCGGGAAAATACTCCAAAAGTGTAATTTCCTACAAAAGACAACCAAATCTACGAAAACACTAGAAAACACCAATTAGTAATAAAAGTGGCTCTAAAGAGCCAAAAACACTACTAATTACGACCAAGGGACGGGGGTAAAATACTATATAAAATAGACGCATCAAACTCCTTCAAGCCAAACCTTTTCTTGTCCCTAAGCAAAGATCTCATCAATGAATCAATAAATATGCTTCACCCCAAAAGTAAAAATCAAGCACAAACGATCCAGGGTAAATCAAATAAACATGCTTCAAAATCAACCAATCAAATCCATCTAATTACCAATCTTTCCTAACGATTGTCAAACAGAGCAAACCACAATAGCATATAGAATTCAAGACTAGTGCTCACACACTCAACTCTCATTTTTTTGGCGAGTACAAGATGTACTCGATCGCTCTCCATCCAACCCCTTTATGTGAACAATGCACACTCATCTCACACTCTCGTGTGTATAAAACAATGAACGCTTAACCTACTAGTCGACTCGAAATATGTCAAATCATAACTTGCATTGATAAGCAACACTTTCACATTTATACAGTTCTATGCACAAAGGTCAGAAGGTCTTTAAAGCTTGTAATGTAAGGCTAGGGTAAAGGGTAGGAATCAGTTGGGAATAAGTGAGAGAAAAGCTATGCTTAAGGCAACAAATCCTATCGAAGCCCATGATCAAAATAAATAATGATCAACATCTCCTACATAACCAACTCTAACATCCACCAAATATACTCCAATCATAATAAACAATCCCAACTCTTACATATCACTCATAAGATATAATAATGAAGAAGTGGAGTGAATAAACAAACTTTATTTCCAAACTTGAATTTTTCATTGAAGCTCTATTATTTTTCTTTTGATCAACCTCCAACTAGAACATTTGAACATTGAATACTATTCTTTTGAAGTTCACTTATTTTTTTTCACATATTTTTTTGAACTTCTCTTTTTTTTTCTTCATAACATCATGCTTTATTTTTTTTTCAAGAAAATATAACTCTCAAACTCATCAAAAATAAACATAATCAAAAACAAAATAACTTCTCAAAACCCACCCAAATTGTGCAAATAATAAGCACACTACAAACTCCCTCACCTCAAAATCTCCCCCAAGCCAAGCTTGGGACTAGTAACCGATGGGGCAAAATAGGCTTGTAATATGGCTAATAAAACAACAAAAAGTCAAGGCAACAACATGGGTAGCAAGAAGGGAACAAATGTATCTACAATATCAGGAGGCTACCTAAAAGAACAAATGCCTTCGTCCTCCACAATGTGCATAATAATGAATCATATAAATATTACTAATAGTTGCAAACCAATACTCAAATTCATTGACATACCAGGAATTATGGAACTATCACACATTCCTAACCAAATCAACTAGTCAAGCACTATATTCACAAGTAGTTGGACAAAATTGACGCATGTTAAGGTTTCAAGGCAATCAAACATCAAATCATGATCAACTAATCCACAATGCATATCATCAAATACCAAGAATCAAAACAATTTTCTCAAGTAAGGGGCACAAGGAAGCATAATTTACAATTCATTGGAATGTATTTTTGGATTTTTTATTTTTCAATTTTTTTTTTTCAATATAAAAGAAAGCAATAAAACTAACCTAGAAAGCAAGAAATCTAACATTAGAAAACACACCAAAAATAAAAGAAAAGAGGAAAAGAAATATACCAAATCCAAAATCTCCCCCAAGCCAGAATCAGACAATGTCCTCATTGGCTCGGGAACTAGCCCAGCATAGCTAGTCCTGATCATCCTCATCCATCGAGCCGAAACCCGCACCTCCACTGCCACCTGCACCAGAAGAGCTACCACCAAAATAATCAGCATGAAAACTCCCCCCCCCCCCCCGCCGGTCCCCCGAAAGGAATGTCCTGGTCGTACCCATAGAAGGAAGAATAGTCAGTGTAAATACCATGGACAGTGGGATCCCTATCGTATCCCTGTGGTGGAGGCTGAAACCAGTCAGGGTGAATAGCGTCGCCGGGAATGTTGCCCTGACGAGCATAATCATCATACATAGGGTAGAGAGCTCTACCCTGGTTCCTCTCTAGGTACCCTAACCTATGGTTTATGGAACCAACCATCCTCCTAAGGTCAGTATGGGAATTCTCTATACGTCTTAAGGCCTGACCTATACTCTGAAGGTCCCAAACTGGGTCAGAGTCAACATGAGGGACGGAGTGAGACATACGAGGTGGAGAGAATGCCACCTCGGGCTGAGGTTGGGGTGGTGGAACTGGTGGTGGTGGTGCCTCCCCCCTAGCGTTGGCAACTAAAACATCATAAGTGTAAGATGGTTGCCCT